CCCTAAAGATGATTTTCTCAATTTCTTAAGAGACACTGATAATTGAGGAATAAGTAAAATACCAAAAGATGGTAATCAGTGGCAAGTTTTCATTAAAAAGGATCCAAAACATATAATTGGAGCGATTAAGTTGTTTGAATACAAAAATAATACTGCTAAGAAGTCGGAAGTAGATGGTAAAATAAAAGAGGCAAATGATAGCAATAAAGCTAAAAAAGATGACTTATGGGATAAAAGTAATGATAAGCACCTTGGTGAATTTGTTTACAAGCTTGCTGAAGGACAAAGCGGTGATTCTCTAATTAAAAGTCAAATTACAGATGTTCCTGGTGGTGGAAACGGCGGCAATACAGACCAAGAAACTCCTTGATATGCTAAATTGGGATATTGAACTATCTGGGTTCCAGCGATTTTAGTAATTGGTGGAGTGCTGGTTTATTTATTCTGAGAAAACATTGCTAACTGATGAAATGGTCCAGCTGAGGAAGGAGGAGAGGCTGAAAAGACTGGTGGAGAAGAAGAGGAAAGTTAATTAGATGATAAATCTAAATAATTAGATTTAATTACTGCTCACCACAGAGAGTGAGCAGTCTATTTTTAAAAAATTTAAAAAAATATATAATAAAATAAAAATAATATGATAAGAAACAATCGAATTTGAATCGAAATAACTGATCAAAAAGGATTTTTTATGTTTGGAGATTTATCTCGCCTTCAAAGACAAAATGAAGTTAGTGTTAATAGCAATCAAGTTGATGTTATATGTGAGAATTGTCCTCACAAATATAGATTTAATAAAGAACAAATTGAAGGAAAAGGTAAAATTTGGGATTGATGAAAGTGACGAGTTTTTTTAAGAGGTAATCAAATTTCCAAGAGCGATCTTGGTGGATACTATGCTAAACTTAGAGTAGAGTTTTATTGTAGCCATTGCCAAGCTGATTTACCAAATAGACAGTAGATTAAAAATTATCAAAATAAAAATATATGGAGACTGGTGGCAGTTATTTAAAATAACTGAGGAAAGTCCGTACTCGCACTTACTGGAATTGTAAGTAGTTTTAGTGCTAGGTCTAATAAACCTAGGCAGGTCTGTTGTTCTCCTCCTGACGGCTGGCGAACTACCTAAATGCCTTTTCTCTCTCTTCGGCATATGGTATATTAGTCTATAAAAGTGCCATAGTGACGATTACTAGGGAAACCTAGGAAGTGGAACGTCGTAAACCCCACTAGCGAGCAATCCAAATTCTTTAAATTGGTAGGAGCACCAAAGAAAGAGAAAAATAATCTCAATTGGTAATTCCCAACAAGGAATTAAGATAAATCACCGGTTAAAAACAGAATACGGCTTATTCTTCATATGTTTTTTAGAAAGATGAAAAAATAATTTTCAAAGTTTGGAGGTGTAGTTCAATTGGTAGAACGTCGGCCTCCAAATCCGAATGTTGTGGGTTCGAGTCCTGCCGCCTCTGCCATTTTTATTAAAGAGTTTTTGTTCAGAAATCCTTTTTAGTAAAATATGACAAAATTAACTTGTTCGAGGAATATTTTTGTACACCTTTGTTTAGAAAGAACTTTATCTTTGATTTTTCTTAGTATTACTCAAAAGTTAAATTTTTATGTCGGAAAAGAAAAGTAAAAAGAAATATAGCAGTGCCCAAGATTACAAAGTTTTAGAAGATATTGAGCATATTAGAAAAAGACCCGGTAATTATATTGGTTCTACTGATGAGCAAGGCTGGCATCACCTTTTTCAAGAGATAATTGATAATTCTATTGATGAAGCAGTTGCTGGTCACTGTGACCAGATAAAAGTAACCCTTTCTCCTGATCAAAGAACTATCACATTAGAGGATAATGGATATGGAGTTGCTCTTGAAACTATGGATGGAGTTCCTTTAGAAAAGAGTTCTGGGGAAGAAAAAAGTGTTTTGCTTACTCTTTTTTCGTCTCTTAAATCTGGAGGAAAGTTCGAAAACAAAATTTATGAAACCTCTGGTGGACTTCACGGAATTGGAGTAACAGCAGTTAATGCCCTTTCCGAAGAGTTGAAGGTTTGAAATAAACGACAAGGTAGGACTCAAATTTTAGAGTTTAGCCGAGGAATTTTAAAATCAGAGGAAGTTATTGACTCTCCTCAGGTAACTGACGGGTTTGTTGTATCGTTTACTCCCGATCCTGAAATTTTTAAAGAATTTACTTATTTTAAGGTTGAAATTATTCAAAAACGTTTAAAAGAGTTAGCCTATTTAAACCCTAATCTTACTTTATATTTTTATACTTCTCCTACAGCCGAGCCAATTATTTATCATTTTACAGGTGGTTTAAGAAGTTGGATTGAGGAAATTCATACTGGTAAAACAGTTTTAGGAGAAGTTTTTCATAAAGTAGTACTAGAAGAAAAGTCGCCTGAATATTTTCAATTAGATTTTGCTTTCCAGTACCAAGATGGTTATGACAAAATCAACACTCGCTCTTTCTGTAATAATATTCGTACAGGCGGAGGCGGTTCTCATGTTAGTGGTTTTGAGAGCGGTCTTTTTGAGATTTGTAAAGAGTTGGTTATTAAGGATAATCCAAATTTGGAGATTGAGTTGAACGATGTTTTAACAGGATTGACTTCAATTGTGTCTGTTAGAGTCAGAGAGCCAGAGTTTGCAGGACAGACCAAAGACCGACTAGCTAACCGAGAGGTACGGGAGAAAACTAAAAAGGTTACTCAGGAACTAGTCAGTAGTTTTTTTCAAGATAATGCTACTACTGCTAAACTTATTAAAGAGAAGGTTATTGACAACGCTAAACTTCGTTTACATTTAAAAGAGGAACAGGACATTTTTCAGGGAGGGAAAAAATCTCTTGATTTGATAAAAGTGTTATCTGGTTCAGAAGAAAACGAGGAAATATTTTTTGTAGAAGGTAAATCAGCAGGTGGTAGTGCCGAAGAAGGTCGAGATGTAAAAACTCAAACTGTTTTGGCTCTTCAAGGAAAGCCCCCTAATGCTTTGAAATTAGTTCGTCGGGTTCTCCAAAATAAGCAAATCCAAAATGTTCTATTGGCACTTGGTTTTGCGGATACAAAGGGACTTTTGAAGAATAATTATGTTCGTTTTCGTCCTTGACTAGAAAAGCAAATATTAGACGAAGAATTAACTTTACCTGAAGAATTTGTTTATGAAGAAGAGGGAGAAAAAAAAGTTATTGCGACTGATACTCCCCTTAATTTAGAACAAATAACTATTATTGTTCGCGAAACTTTAAAGGACTTGCTAGGCAAAGCAAATTTTAAGAAAATTATTTTGATGGCTGACCCTGATGATGACGGAGCTCATATTGTAATTTTGCTGGTAACTTTTATTTTCAAACACTTGCCTTATTTAGTTGAAGGAGGAAAATTATTTGTGGCCGTTCCTCCTCTTTATCGAGTGCAATCGGGAAAACAAATACATTATTTTTATGATGACCAAGAATTAGATGTTTATCGAAAAAAACATCCTCGCGAGGAACGAAAAATTGAACGGATTAAAGGTTTAGGGCAGATGGATGCTTCAGAATTGTTTGAAAGCACTATGGACCCTAGTCAAAGGCGTTTGTATGGCATAAATATCTCTAACTGAGCGGAAGGTGAACAGATAATGCAAGGATTGATGGGAAAAAAAAGCGATAAGCGGAAAGAATATTTGGAAAAACGTAGTTATCGCGAAGCAAGTTTAACCATTAGTGAAGAACAAACAATTGATATGAGTCATTTGGCTTTGGTCAATTTTCTTCGTTATGCTTATGCCGTAGTAGAGGACCGAGCCTTACCGAATGTTCATGATGGTTTGAAGCCTGTCCAACGACGAATCCTCTTCGCTCTTTATCGATTAGGCATTACTCCTAACAAGTCAGAGGTTACTTCAGCCAATATAGTAGGTAAGACAATGTCAGACTGACATCCTCATGGTGACCAAGGTATTTATAATGCATTAGCTCATATGGCACGAGCCGATAAGTTTCGTTATCCGTTGGTTTACGGTCGGGGAAATTTTGGTTACGATAAAAATCCCCCAGCAGCCATGCGTTATACCAAAGTAAAGTTAACCCCTTATGCTCTTTTCTTATTGGAGGACATTGATTATGGAGCAGTAGACTGAAAAAATAACTACGATGATAGCAAAGGCAAGGAGGAGCCGTTTATTTTGCCAACTAGCCTTCCTAATTTATTGTTAAATGGTTCTAGTGGTATTGCGGTAGGAATGACTGCTAATATTCCACCTCATCATTTAGGAGGGACATTAACCGCAACCGTTAATCTAATTCGTAATCCTGATTTAATTGCTGTTCAGAAACTGCAAAAGGAGGTTCAGGAAAAAAACGGGCAGGTTACTGCCACCGATTTAAAAATAGAGAAAGTTGGCACTGGTGAACTAATTGAAAAAGAACTTGAAACATTGGTCGAGGAAAGGAAAGGGATGGAAGAAAGTCTGCTCCAATTAAAAAGGAAAATCAACCAATCCTTGGTTGATGATTTACAAGGGCCTGATTTTCCAACCGGCGGTTATGTTTTAGAAAAAGAAAAATTACCGAGCATTTATGAAAAAGGAGAGGGGACGATTTATTTGCGGGCTAAAGTGCAAATTTTCTCTCCGGCTGAAGTAAAAAGTGGAAAAGAAATAGCAGGAACTGAAAAAAGTGTTCGAAATATAATTTGAATTACCGAATTGCCTTACAAGGTCATTAAGTCGACTTTGGTAGCTCGGATTGCAGAAGTAATTAAAGATAAAAAAATCCCTGGATTAAAAAAGATTGTTGATTATTCTAATCGCGGAATTACGGACATTCGTCTCGAATTTGATTCCCAGCAACATGATGGTCAAATAATCCTTAATAAGTTGTATAAGAGTACTCAGTTGCAGATTAGTTTTGCGGTTAAAATGCGAGCCTTAATAGGAGAAAATCCTAAAGTTTTTTCCTTAATGGAAGTTTTGCAGGCATTTATCAGCAACCGTTTAGAAAATATTCGCCGCAAGTCCCAATTTCAATGGAAAGAAAATGAAAAAAAGTTATTTGATTTAGAAATTCGTCGCTTTAATATTGAACACGATGAGCAAATTTCTAGGATTGCTAAGAATAGGAGTTTTTCATCCAGTATTGAAAGAAGACAAGAATTAAAAAGTGTCCTTCCAGCCGAATTGCAAGAATTGCAAAAGCGTTTGTCGGTTGTCTCGAGTGATTCCTTGGATTCTTCTGAAAAAGTGAGCGATCCAGAGCAAGAAGTTTTTAATCGAATTTTTCGTACTATGACTAGTTACGACATGTTCACTCCAGAAAAACAAGCTGAATTAGTTAGTAAAATAAATGATTTAAAAGTTGAAAATGAAGAATTAGGACAGTTGGCTGCTAGTGAAGAAAAACGTAAAGAAAAATTAATTGCTGATTTAGAGCAATTGAAGAAAGATTACGAGAAGGATAACCGTCGTACTCAAATTATTACTGATTCTCACCTGATTGATGAAAGAAAAGCAGTTACCCCAGAAGAAATAATTGTTATTCTCAGTCAAGGTGAAAAGAAAAAAACTAAATCCAAAGGGGAAGAGGAAGAAAGTAAACTAACTAGTTATTTAAATATTTATAAAATAAATTCTTTGGATGCCACTAATATTCCGAGTGTAGGAAAAGAATTAAAAACTCGGGGGGAAAATTCAGCCATTATTAAATCCAATCGGAGGGATGACTTGTGATGTTTTTCTAACTTAGGAAAAATTTATATTATTCCTGTTTATAAATTAACTGACAAAAGTTTTAATTTGAAGGAAAGCGGAATAATAAAATTAACTCCTGGAGAAGTTGTTGAACAAATCATTTCTGTCCGAGAAGATTTTTTAACTGAGGAGAACAAAAAAGAGAAATATTTAGTGATAGGCACTAAAAAGGGGAAGGTTAAACGTTTACCTTTGGAGAAAATTGGTAAGGTGATGAAAGGAGGAAAGAAAGTGATTAATATATCAAAACACGGCGATGAAATTGTTCAAGTGTCCTTTACTTCTGGTCAAGATGATATAATGGTGTTTACTAAGCAAGGAAAAAATAAAAACTTCACGGAAGAAAAAATACGAATTTTTGGTAGGTCTGCCTATGGGGATACAGCGATTAAATTAGAGAGTGGTAATCAAAAAGTTCGTTGCCCTAAGCACCGAACTCTTTTAGAAGAACATAAAACTGCTCCTTGTTGTGATAAGAGTCGGCCTGGTGCTCAGTTAAGTTGCCCTCGAATGAAAGAAATAAATATGGAAATAAGAAAATGTTTTGATTGTAATAGAGTAGTGGCGACAGCGTCTGGCCAAGATGAGATGGTTAGTTTATTAGTGGTCGAAAAAGAATTTCCGAAAAATGAATTTAATTTATTGGCAATTCGTGAGGATAAAAGCGGTGTAAAAAAAGCTCTTTCATCAATTTTAGAGTTAGCTAAAAGAAAAGGCGGTAAAGGGAAAAATAAGTTCCGAGTGGAAGAAAGAGAAGTTTCGAAGTATTGTGGTAAGCACGAAAATTCTATCGGCAAGTTAAGAGAAAGTTGGGAAGTTTTTGGAGAAAAGTTCAAAGCGGAGAAAAAAAGTTGGGAAGAATTAAAAGAAATACTAGATAAGGCTCAGAAAGAACAAGTTAACCCTGAAGTAATCAAAAAATATGAGGAAGAATTGGTTCAAGTTAAACAGAAGCAGCAGGAATTAAAAGAAAAGGGTGAGAAAAAGAAGAAAGAGTGAAAGAATGCAGGAGAAAAAAGTAAAAAATGTGCTGATTGTCGAAGAAATTGCTCTCAGCACGAAGAATTAAAAATTCAACATGAGAGCGATAAGTGTTGCGATAAGAAAAAAACTGAAAAGGAAGAGTTAAAAGGAAAAATTGAGCAATTACAGGCTACAAAACCTAATTCTAAAAAACTGGAAAAATTACGAGCAGAGTTTAAAGAATTAAACAAGCAGTCCTTGAAAAATCGAGTCGAGTGTCCTCGCTTCCAGGAAATAAACCAGGCAATAAGAAAATGTTTAGAATGTAATAAACAAAAATCTAAAAAAGCAGTCAAGATCACCCCTGCTTATTTGCAAAAAGTGTTGTTGCTTAGCAAGAGAGAGAAATCTGAGATTTATTTATTAGCCGAAGAAGCAGTGTGTCGATATAATAAGAAAGATTTAGTTGATTTCCTTCAAGATGAAAAAAAGAAAAAAATTCAACTTTATAAAGGACAAAAAGTGATTACTAGCCTTAATGCCTACCCTGTAGATATCCCAATTTCCAAGCAGTAGCATAAGGATATAAAAATATTTAGTTTTATTAAGTAAAATTGCTTTGTTTTTAGAGTGTTGTTTTATTACTGTGATAATTTATCACTGATCAAGACATTTCAGAAAATAATTATCGCTTATGAGTTAGTGATTATGCGAATGAAATCACTAAAAGCGAAAGCAATTTCGCTGGTTCAGTCTACGGAGTGGACTTCTGATTAAAAAGTGTGGAACACTTGGTCTGTCCTCCTGATTAGGAGGATAAATTTCTACTTAGGATTAGAATTAACTTGGATTTGAGCCTCTACTTTTTGTTCTTGTAAAAGATCAGTTTGCTGATCAATGATTTTAAACCACTCTTGTTCAGTTAATTGCTTCTTTTGCTTTTCAAATGACTGATAAAATTCTACCAAATCTTTATCTAACTTTTCTAAAAAGTTTCTTAGTTGTTCTGAATTAAGACTAGCAAAAAATTCTTGACGAATACCAGATGCCTGGTAAATATTTTGTCCTTCACTAAAAGGATAAGGTTTTTCTTTAACTAAGTCTAAAACTTCAGTGATTTTAGTAGTTACTGGACTAAGTGATTGATTATTATTTCAAATAGTTTTGTATAAGGAGTCATAACTTTGGTCAAAGAAGATAAGATCTTTATTGTCTTTCTTAATTATTTCTTTGAATTCCTTAATGCATTTGCCTAAGTATTTACCTTCGAGAATGATGTCAGTTAAAACAGTAATGTCTCCGACAATTCCTAAGGGAGTTTCAGCTACGCTCCTATTAGGAACACTTTGGATTATTTTACTAGTAATCCCCATTACACTATTAATTCTAGTAGTTCATTTCTTAGTAACGTCAGTTTTATTAGCTAATCGGCAATAACAATTAACTAGTTTATCAATAGTTTTTTTTCGATAATTAAAAAATAGTTCTTGAACTCCCCAAAAAATAATAACTTGGTTAATTACTTTCTTATCTTGTTCAGTTATTTGGAGATTAGTTAAAGGTTCACTAATTTCTCTTTCGGTTTCATTGGCTAGTTGTTGGTAATAGAGGTTGTATTGATTAATGAGAGTGGAATTATCACTAACGTTAACAATGTTACAATTAATATAATTAATAATTTGCTGGGTAGCTGGTTGTTCTTGATAATAAACTTTTAGATGATCTTCGGCTTTGGCTAATTCTAGTTTTAACTGATGGTTTGCTTCTTTTTCATTGTTGCTAGAAACCTGCGATAAGTTTTCTTTTTGTCCCTTAACATCGCCACTTTTGATTTCTAATTCTATTTCTTGTTCAATTAATTTCTCACAATCAGTTAGAATACGCTGCATTCCATTCATGGCCTCCTCATCTAATTTATTTTCTAATTGTTCTTCAATTAGTTCATAACCTTTCTTGTATTCTTTAACTTTCTTACGATAATTAGGAGAATTAGTTTCTTTTTTTTTGAACTTGATAAATTCTAAGTAGGATTCAATCAAGTTTTTGGCTAATTCCCTTTCTGAACCAAAATGAGTTAAGTAAGCATTAATTATTTTATCTTTTTGCTGTTTATTCAAGTCAATTAACTCTTGGATTCGTGATTCTAAGTAATTAATTCGCTTTTCTTTTTTCTTAAATTCTTTGTCTAAATTTGAAACTATTAGTTGGGTATTCATCATTTCACTAGTAGTTTTTGGCTGAGTTTCTTTAGGAACAATATCTACAACTCTCTTTTTCAACTCCTCTCGACTCTTTTTTAAATCTCAAAATTTTTTGATTAATCCTTGAAAATCTTGTTTAGTTGATAATTCATGTATTTCTCGAGCATCTTTTTTGCAAGATTTTCAATCATTTCCATCTTTATAAAGTCTTAAAATCTCAACTAATTTAGTATTCTCATAAGAAAAATTTTCTCAATTACCTGGTAAATATTCTAATCCGGAAACAATTTTAGGATTACCATCTATTTCTAAGGTTTCTAAATTTTCTAAATCTTTTATGAATTCTAAATTGGTTAAAAGGTTCTTACGAACTTTCAATTTTTCTATCTGAAAACAATTTTCAATTACTAATTCTTTCACGCCACAGTCTCAGATAGTGCAATTTTGCAGTTTAATTAGGTTTCTTAGGATAACCTTATCTACATTTTTAATATTTTGTAAATATAGTAACTCTAATTCAGGATAATCCTCAATAACTAGCTGTCCTTCAAATTTCTTATCCTCAAATTCAATTTCTTTTCTTTTTTTGTGATATTTCTTGTCAAATATTTCTTGATTGTTAATCATAAGTTTAGTTAGTAGGCATTTCGATATTGGTTTGCAATTGCTCTTCTGCTTTCACAAACCTTTCACAGTATTCAATGATCTTTCCAATATCTTCTCGTGAAAATCTTTCTTCTCTCAATTCTGCTTTTAGTTCTCCAACACTATCCATCAATTCCTCATTTTCTTCATCTTTTAGCGATTTCTTTTTAATTTCAATGAATTTTTTTATCAGTTCTTTTTGTTTGTCAGTAAAGGTTTGATTAATCTCTTTTTCCATTTTCTTGATTTCTTGTGCTAGAGCTTGTTCTTGGGATTCTTGGAATAATTGAGCGATTTGTTGGGTGTTGATGAGTTTACTAGTAGTAGTTGCTGTGGAAGGTAATTTGTAAGGGGTGCTTTGAGATAAATAATTATACTCTGCTTCTATTTCTCGCCTTTGACGGATGAATTCACTGTCTTTCTTTTCCGTCATCTCTTCAATCGACCATTCTAGAATTATTTCCTCTAGTTTCTCAACTACTATTCTTTTTTTTGGGTCAGTTTCTCAGCATTTCTTAATTAAATCTTTTAATAATTGAGGTATTAGTAATTTGTCGATATCAGGTCGTAATCCTTGACAGACTTTTAAGGCAAATTCTGATTCATTTAAATTATTAGGATAGGCGTTAGCCAATAATTCGTAAGCAATGATCCCAAAAGAGTAAACATCCGAAGCTTGGGTATGTGGCTGACCACAGAGGACTTCCGGAGCTATATAAGGAAGAACCCCAAAAATTTTCTTGTTATCAGTTTCTCTAGCTGGTCGACACAGGCCTAAGTCAGCAATACAACAACTATAACTGTTATAGTTTAAAATATTGCCTAGATGAAAATCGCAGTGGACTAGTCCTTGACCATGAATGTATTTTAAGCCACTGGCAATGCTTTCTATTTTATCAAGTTTATCTTCAAAATTTATTTTTCTATAATTCTTTTGCAAATATTCTCTAAGATTACCACCCTCCATATACCTCATTACCATTACATAGTTCTTAGTATTCAGGTCTTGAGAAACACCATAGTATGGCACAATAGAATCAAGATAATCAGAGTCGGAAAACCCTGGAATTACAATCTTTTTCTTGCTAGCCAAAACAGTGTTAGCAATCTCTGTTAAGAATTCTAATGTGATATTTTGAGAATCATTAAGGATTTTTAAGACCACTTTTCTATCTCTGTCCTTTTTTAATTCATCTTTTTCTTTTCCTCATTTTGTTTTGTAGACTCGACTAAACCCCCCTTCTGCTAAGTACTCGATCTCAGTAAATTGTTCGTATGGTATTCAATTTAATCCTCACTTTTCTATTAATTCTTTACCAGTTAATTGTTTTAATTCTTCTTGTCATTTTTTTTCGGCACAAGATTGACATCAATTTTTACTAGTGTTAACTTGTTGGCAATGACGGCATCAGTCAAACTCATTACATCTCTTTCTTAATGATTGATGGTCTTCTTTACTTTTGTTATTTAAGAACTCTTGTGGGGTAAGTTTTTTGATTTCTCTTAAGTAACTAACAAAATTGTAATCCTCCGGATCAACTTCGGCATTTATTCATTCGTTAGTTTTCTCTTTATCAAAATCTAACTCTTCTCATCTTCTTCTCGTTCAAAGTTTAAAATTAGAATGCAAATCTTTTCATTCAAACACTTCTAATTGAGGAACTATTTCGGTTAATTTACATTCTGGTCTTAACTCGGTTGAATATTCAATTCTTTCCAATTCATCAGGTAGTTCATTTATGCTCACTTCATCAATGTCAGTATTTTCAATACCAAGGCTTTCTAGTTCTTCCATCCCATTTAAGCAATTTAAGGAACCCACAAAACGATTATAAATACCTTGTTGAATTTTATTTTTGTTATTATTTCCTAAACTAAGCCTTTCTAAATTAATAGCATCTGCTAAAAAAAATAAATCTTGGGTTGAAAAATTGTTATTGTTCAAACTTAATTCTTTTAGGTTAGTTAGGTTAAGTGGTAAAATAATGTTAGTTAACAAATTATTTGAACAATTTATTCTCTTTAATTGGCAACACTCACTCAGGTTAAGATTGGTTAACTTATTACCAGAACACTCTAATTCTTCTAAATTTAAAAAAAAGCCTGCTTTAAACGTGTTTCTGCCTATCTTTACGGCATTTAATATCTTCTGAAAGAGAGTAATATTTTGTGTTTGTTTGTTAAAGCCCGAGAGGTTAAAACTTCCTTCTAAATTCTGCTTCCTAATATCTAACTTAATAATTTCAGTTCTAGTTTTACCATAGTTGTTTCATCCTGTAGTTTGTTGCCTCAGTTCGTCATCCACCTCTTCATCTTTTGTTTCTATTTGGCATCCACCATCTTTGAGATATTTTTCATCTAGCCATGCTTGAGCTGGAAATAGTTTAATGATTTCTGCTTTTTTTCCTTGGTTTTTTATTACTATTTTACTAGCATCAACAGTAGTAAAAATGTATGCCTTAAAGTCTTGACGAACAAAATCCCTTAAATCTAATTCCCCCTCCAAAGACGGTTCATTAAGATAGATCTCTTCCACTTCGCTTCTCACTTCTTTAGGATATTTTTGGTCTAATCATTCTTGGAGAGTCTTTGGTTTGCTTTCATTTTTTTCTTTTTCTCTCAAAATTTGCTGATGTTCTTGCCTTAACTCTTCATTATTGCCATGGTCTAAGACTCAATCAGTGTCTACTTTTTTAATATCTCTTAGCCATTGAGCATATCCTGCATCACTAGGTTGCAAACCTACATCTACTCACTCTTTACATTTTTCATAACTAAATCCTTTGTCTTTTCATTGCTTTTTTAGTTCAGGGGTAAAATCTTGATGGATATTTTTTCAATCCTTTTTAAAAAGCCCTTTTATTTTTTTCATAGTTTTAAAAGTTACATTATTTATAAAAAATACAATCACTAAACAAGCTCTCAAGCACTTATATATTTAACTAGGAGTGATTGATTTAAAGGTTATGCTAGTAAAATATTTCTCTTTCGTTTTGACCATAGGCACATTTTTATTCTTATATTACCCTCTATATATTTATAATTTTATTTTATAATTAGAAAGATAAAAATATATATTGTGTATTTACTTACTTACATAACTAAAATAATATATTATGACTGGTCGCAATGTAAATATTTATTTTCAAGAGGAAACTTATAGCAAAATTAAGTCTTTAATCAAACAAAGAAAAGTCAGCGAGTTCGTTAATCAAGCAGTAGAAAAAGAGTTAGAAAAACGACAAAAGAAAGAAAAAGCAGAGTTAAAAGAAAAATTAATTTCTGCTTATAAAAGAATGGCTAAAAATAAAAAATTACAAAAGGAATTAGCAATTTTAGAGGAGGTAACAACAAAAGGTATATCAAAAAAACTAGTTAAAAATGAGTAAAAGGCAAATTATTCCTCAAAGGGGAGAAATTTGATTAGCAGAATTTCCACCCGCCAAAGAAAGTCGCAAGCCTATAAGGCCAGTTCTAGTAATTAGCGACAATATTCAAAATAAATATGACAAGTGAATAGTTGTAGTTCCAATTACTACCGAGGATATTAATAGTATTGAACCCTTTGAAGTTTTTATTGACAATACTCCTAAAACAGGTTTAGAATTTCCCAGTAAAATCCAGTTTAATTATCCTTTTACTGTTGATAAGGAGCGTTTAAAAGAACACTTAGGAATAGCCAATCAAGAAATAATGGAACAAGCCAAAATTTCTTGGAAAATTGCTTTTGATACTGAAGAATGATAATTTTACAAAAAAACAAAAAAAAATTAAACTAACTAAAATCTTTTTTTTCTCATGGCTAATTCTTCTTTTAATAATTTAGTAGGAATTTGACTTAAATCAGAAAAACCTGGTAATTCTTTTCTTAAAGCCAAAACCACACTCAGAGCTTTTTCAATTTTAACTAATGTTTCATAACCAACTTGACCTTTATATTCTCTTAATCTTTTTCGATCCACACTTCGAATTTGATCAGTCAGAATTTTTCGATCTTTACCTTCAGAATGAATAAATACTTCTCAAGAATAAAGTTTATCCATATCCGAAGTAATAGGAATAACAATTAGCAAAGGACTATATTGATTTTGCTGATTATTAGAAATAATCACACAACGACGAGTTTTCCTGATTTCTTTTCCTAACGTTGGATCTAAGACAACTCTGTAAATATCTCCTCGTTTAATTATCCTCTCGGTCATCTTGTTTATTTCAGTCGGTAATTTGAGCTTGATCTCATTCACTAGCTTCTTTTCAACGATTTTTGTCTTGGGCTGCTTCTTGATATTCTTGAGCGAGTTTTTGTTCTTGGTCCCGTAATTCTTTACTAATTAACTTTTCAATAAAAGCACTAATTCTTCCTCGTCCTACTTCACTTTTTAATTGCTGGTAGAGACTAGGATTTATTCTAATACTTACCACTTTTTTAGGAATTTGAGAATTATTACTTACCATAAATTAGTTTTATATATCAAGATTACAGTAATCTAACCCAAATCCTAAAGGAAATAATTAATCGAGATGTAATCAATATCCTGACTACTATTTTAGATTGAAAAGAAAACATTGGATAATAATATCACTTTTATCTCCCAAAAGCACACATAGAAAAATTAATTGAACTAGTTGACAAAAAGTCGGTGTTTTATGACTAGGTGTGATCTGTGTAAGTTGTTAGTTATAAACTTAATTCATTACTTAACCAATAGTAATCGTCAACAATTAAGTTGAATCTTATAGGGAATTTTATTTGGGTGAAGTTTCGATTCAAGACTGTTGTTGCTTCTGCAAATTTTCTAGTTTTTCTTGTAGTTCAGTAGATTCTTTTTGCTTTTGGCTGATAATATCTAATCCTTCCTTAGTTAATTTTCTTTCCAACAATTCTTTATCGGAAGCATTTAGGGACGCTTGATTGTTGAGAAAATTTTCAAAAAGTGATTGCCTTTCTTTATTTCTTTTTTCTTTCTCTTCAGAAAAGTCTCATCATTTTTTGTTTCCTAACTTATTCTTTGCAGAATTAACTAGTTTGTCTAAATGGCTTTGTAATTGATATAGTTGTTCCCTTTTCTCTTTCTCTTTGATGAAAAGTTTGGTGTATTCTTTTCCAAATTTGAGCGTTCTTCTGAACAAATCAAATTGTTCATTTCACTCTTTTTCCAACTCTTTATTTAAGTTTTCACAAAGAGACATTATTGCTGTTTTCATAGCCTCGGAATTTAATAATTTTCCTTCCCAAACGCCTTTACTTTCAAGAATAGAAAATATTTCACATGATTCGTTAAATAAATGTGATTTACCATACACTTGCTTGTCTTTTAAGTTTAGAATGTTAACCTCTAGATTTTCTAATCCACCGTTTTTATGAATAAAGTCAATTAGATGATCATAATTCTTTTCAAAATAAGTTAATTCGTTCTCGTTCTTCAAAACAATTTGAAATTCTTCGCTGCTTTTGACCAGGAACTTTATTTTTGAGAGTTCGTTTTTGGCCTTAATGAATTCTCCTAAACCCTTAGGAATTATTCCAAATATTGTTGTGGAACTAGCGGCTCCTCCTGTATCGCTTATTGCATCACCTATTATTCCAAACTTAGCATTTTTATTGCTAAGGAATTCTTCTAAATCGTTACAGCGATTTTCTAGTTCATTGATAGTTTGACGACGAGCATCAAGAAAAGTTGACTTAGTTCTTAAAAACTCAAGAGTTTCTTTATAAACAGTAGTTTGGACTGCCGAGGTTTGCTTTTGTTTTGTTGCAACTACCAATTCTTTTAATTCTTCAAATCTTTTTTCTCTTTCTTCAGCTTGATTTTTGGCTTCTGCTAATTCTTTTTCTAATTTTTGGACTTTTGCTTCCAACTCTTTTTTTATTTCTTCTACACTTTTAATAACCTCTTCTACATTTGTCATCAGTTCTCCGGTTTTTCCAGGACCAAAAAAATCTTCTTTTGTTTCAATCTTTTTATTCAACTTATTTACTAATTCTTCTTTAGCTTCTTTAGAGAGAGAAATTAAAGTTTCTTTTAAAAAGTTTTTCAGATCATTATATTTTTTTTGAGAAAGATTAAAATTAATAGATAAATCATTCTTTGCTTTCTCTAAAATTCGAATTTTCCTTAACAACTCTTGAGTGTTTTTGTCTGATCCTCGTAGATCTTTTTGATAAGCCTTTCAGTCATCCTCATAAGGTTCTAAAATCTCACTTAATTTAGCATTACCATCTAACTCTAGTGTTTCTAAATTGTTTAAGTCTTTTATAAATTCTAAACCAGTTAAAAGATTTCGACGAACATTCAAGTTCTTGATTTGGAAGCAATTTTCAATCACTAACTCTTGAGTATTACATTTTCAAATAGTGCATTCTTGAAGTTTAACTAAATTTCTAAGGATTATCTTTTCTATACTCTTAACTTCTCGTAAGTTTAATTTTTCTAAATCGTGATAATCTTCAACAACTAGCGGTCCTTGGAAATTTCGGTTACGAGTGATTTCTATTTCTTTTGTTCCTTTGATAGGATATTTTTTGTTGAATTCAATTTGATTATTCACCATAATTTTTATTGATTAGTAGGTATTTCAATTTTAGTTTCTAATTGTTCTTCTGCTTGGATAAACCTTTCACAATACTTCATAATCTTTTCAATGTTTTCATTTGTAAGGTCCTTCACTTTTAACTTATCTTCGAGATCTCAAGCTTTATCTTCAGCGGCTTCATTTGCTTCATCTTGGATGGTTAGTTTCTTAGTTTGAATAAAATCACTTACTAACTTTTTTTGCTCGTCAGTAAGAGGTTGATTGATTTCTCTTTCAATTTTTTTAATTTCTTTTTTTATAGCTTGTTCTTGGGATTCTTGGAATAATTGGACAATTTGTTGGGTGTTAATGAGTTGGCTGTGAGTAATAGTTGTAGATTGGATTTTGTAAGGAGTGTCTTGGGAGAAAGCGTTGTATTCATCCTTTATTGCTTGATATTGCTGGTAGAATAAGGTTTTTTTTTCGTCTATAATTTCTCCCCATCACCTATAAATAATCTCATATAATTCTCGGGAAGATAATCTCTCTCTAGGGTTTGCATCTCAACACTTTTTAATTAAGTCTTTTAACAATTGGGGTATCTTTATTTCGTCTATATTAGGTCTTAGATTGTTACATATAGTTAAAGCGAATTTTTTTGCAGTAACTTCATTGTTTTCTAAGTCGGGATATAGATTTTTTAATTCGGTATAATAGGGATAAGCCTGGGCAAATAGTTCATAAGCAATGATGCCGAAAGAGTAAATATCTGACTTCTTAGTATAAGGTTGGCCTTGCAGTATCTCAGGAGCTACATAAGGCAGAACTCCGAATATTTTTCCTTCTTCTTTTTGAAAGTTAACTGGCCTACTTATTCCGAGATCAGAAATATGGCTTGGTCCTTCCTTATTTAGTACATTACCGCTATGTAAATCTCGATGGATCAGGTTTTGTTCGTGAATAGTGTTTAATCCTTTAGCAATATCCTTTAGCAAATCAAGTTTATTTCGCAAAATTCTTGATTTTATATAATTATTGCCTCATACATCCCTGTTTTGTAAATATTTTCTTAAATTACCTCTGCTCATATAGTCCATAATCATTACATAATTTTTAGTTACGGGATCCTGGGAAATTCCATGGCATCTGACGATATTATAAGCGGTCAACTTATTATTAATGACCTCGGTTAAGAAATCTAAAGTCATATTTTGAGAATTGTTAAGAGATTTTAGAACAACATCTTCGCTTCCAGCATATCCATAGTATCTTTTTATTCCCTTACATTTAGCTTTATATATCTTACTAAAACCACCTTCAGTTAAGTATTCAAGGTTAGTAAATTCTTCATAAGGGATTCATTGCAGTTCACCCACCCCAAACTCTCTCCCGGGCTTTTTTTGAATAAACTTCTTAACTACTTCTTGTCCGGTTAAGTTTTTTATGTCTTTTTGTCATTCTTTTTCCGCACAGGGTTGACATCATCTATAACCAGTTCTGGGTTTTTGGCAGGTTTGACAACGACCATATTCACCATATTTTTCCAGTTGAGGAATAATATTAACTAACTTGCAATCTGGTCTTCTATCAACAGAGTATCTAATTAACTCCAAATTGCTGGGTAATTTATTTATATTTATTTCGTTTAGATCAGTATTACTAATATAGAGTCTTTTTAATTGCCTCATATTGCTTAGATAATCGAATGAACCAGTGAAATTATTATTTCTCAATTCGAGTTCCTCTAAATTAGTGTAAGGAATTAAAAAAGATAAATCTTGGTTAGGAAAATTGTTGCTATTCAAATCTAATTTTTTTAACTTAGTGTGATTAGTAGGAAGAGTAATATTAATTAATGAATTGCTATAACACCCAATTTCCTCTAATTTCTCACAATTAGTTAAATCTAAGTCGGTTAGTTGGTTTTGTGAGCAATTGAATTTTTTTAAATTAGAAAAATTGTTTAGAACTAGTTTTCCTTCTAGATTTTGATTACTGATATTTAACTCCTCTATTTTTTCTCTTTTTTCTTTAGTATTATATCCTTCTTGACTTTCTATTCATTGCTGAACTTGAACAGTTTTAATAACTTTGACTCCTTCCGGCTTGTTTCTAAAAACTAATCTAGTTTCATTTACTTGAGTAGAAATTAACACTTTTGCACCTTGTTCATAAGTAAAATCTCCCAAATCTAATTCTCCTTCCAAACTAGGTTCATTAAGGTAGATTTTTTTTGCTTCGATTCTTACTATTTTTTCATCATACTCGCCATATTTAATTCGTCTTTCTTTCGGATAATTCTTTTCCAATCACTTTTGACTTTTCTTACTCTTGCTGTAATATTTTTCCTTTAATTCTTCTAAATTGAAACTTGATTGAGGAGTGTAGCCTTGTTTGGTCAGATAGACAGCAAATCCACAATCATTAAGTGATAAACCAAAATCTATCCAGGCTTTTAATTGTTGACCACTAATCTGTTTGCTTAGTATTCAGTTTAATGGTTCAGCAATTTCTTGAATTTTGCTTTCGGGTCTTTCTTCACTAGAATAATCAATTTTTTCAATGCTAGTAGGCAAATATTCCCAACCACTATTTATATCAGTGTTTCCAATGTCTAGTTCCCGTAATTTAGACAAGTTTTTTAAGGGTTCTAAACTGCCATAAAAACGATTACATATACCTTTTTTTGTCCCTTGTTCTACCTCTTTTTTTCTATTTTTAATTAAAATCTTATGAGGTTCAAAGTGTTCGTGTTCACTCTTTCGCTTATATTCTTTGACACCCGTGCCTATTTTTAAAACCTCTAAATTAGTTAAAGAAGAAAATATAGATAAATCAGAACTAGGTAGAATATTATTTCTAATGTCTAATTCGGTCAGATTAGGACAACTCTTAGGTAAAGATAAATTAATAAGTTGGTTATCATGGCATTCGATTTTATCTAACTGCTCACAATTAGTTAGATCGAGACTGGTCAATTTGTTTCAAGAACAATCAAGTTTTTTTAGATTAATAAAGTCATTTAAGTATAAATTACCTTCTAGTTCTTTTCATACGCTTCTCCATGTGAGAACATTACCCTTTTTATCTCAATTGCCAGTACTAAACTCTTCTGTCTTTTCTCTTTTTTCTTTTGTATTATACTGTTCTTGTCTTTCTAGTCATTTTTGAGCATCTTGAAAAAAAATTACAATCTCCAGAGGTTTATTTTTAAAAGTTATCTTAGCTTCATCTACTTGGGAAGAAATAAATATTTTTCATAATTTTGTAAAGCTACCTAGATCTAACTCACCTTCTAAACTGGGTTCAGTAAGGTGAATTTCTTCTATTTTTTCTCTTTCTTCTATTGGGTAGTTTTTATCTAATCATCCTTGCCCTTTATTATAATAGGCAATGTATTCATTTACTAATTCTTTCAAATTTAGTTTCGATTGCGAATCATAACCTCTTTTTTTAAAATAAATTGCTAAATCAAGTTCATTTGGTTCTAAACCAATTTCTAGTCATTTTTTACATTCCTCGGGGGTAAATTCTTTTTTCTCCCAACATAATTGAAAAAGATAATTAAAATTAGGATGAATGTTTTTTCATTTAGTTAAACTGTTGTTAAATTCTTTTCTTAATTCTGTTAATTTATCACTATCCAAATCTTCCAACCTTTGTTCATCATCACATAAGAAAATGGCAAAGTCAGCGTCTTTAGGAGTTAAACCAATGGCAATTAAATTTTTAACTTCATCGCGAGATCACTTCCATTTTTTTCACTGTTTTTTTAATTCTGAAGTAAAGTCAGGGTGAATATTTTTTCAATCATCACCGTTTCATTCTGTATAACAATTCTCAGAGCAAAAATCTAAATCTTTTTCAGCATCACTAAAATAGGATACTTCTTCGCCTCTAATTTGTTTTTGGCATTGATCGCAATCTACATTTTTTCTTGGCATAATTTTTAATATTGGTAGTTTCTATTTAAGCAAGTTTAATATCAATTTCTTAAGATAGAAATATTATTACTATAATCAAGTTTTATTATACAATCTGCAATAAGTGGAAAATGATAATTTTACAAAAAAAAAAAAAAAAACGATAATTCCCCCACCAAACTTACTCAGTTTAATGAACTACAAAGTAACTAATTAAATAGCATTTAATAGCAATTGCGACAAATTTGTTGAATGCAAGCATTCATTTTTCCTTGTTGTTGATGTTGGCATTCTAGATATTCAGTTCTTAGTTGCACTAGGTTATCATCATTGTTAATTGCCCTTGGATTTAAGTGTTTCTTATATCTTAATCATTTAGCAAAGTCGTAATCATCAATATTTAAATGAGCAATGTTCACTCATTCTGAAGTTTCCTTAGCAGTGAAATTGTTGTTACACCAATTTTGAATCACCGCTTCAGAAAGAGGATTGTGAGTAAATTTAGAATCTCAATAATTTTTCCGTAAAATAATTAATCTTTCTTTTAAATTCTCATCATTGCAATATTTTTCATCTACCACTCTTAGAATTCATTTTTCTCGTTCTTTTTTATGTCTTCTTCTATTTACTTCATTCTCGCTGTCATTAATATCTAGTTTTGTCTCTTTAAACCATTTCATAAAGTAATAACTTAGAAATTCATGACTTTGATCTTCGGTAACTTTATTTCACTTTTTTATTCTTCCACGAGTAAATCCAAATTTAATTAGCAAATTTAATGTTCTATTTGCTTCGTCATTTCTATTATCATCATTAAAACCACTGTCATTCTTTCAATAATCTTTCCATTTTTTTTCCTCTTTTACTTTCCATTTTGTTTGTCAATCTATTAATTTTTTACTATAGTCAATAAAATCTTTTTCTTGTTTTCTTTTTAACCAACCTCACTCTTCTAGTGACCTCTTTTTTTTAAGAATTTTTCATCATGGTCATCTAATTAAAATTGTATTAGGAATCTTAGTCAATATTAATTCTTTTTCAATTTTTCTGCAACCTTTCTTTACATCAATTTCTGGCTTACGGTTACTAGAGCAATAAAAACGAAATCCTTTTCTTGAGTTATTGTTATCATCAGTAGCAGGAACACACTCTAATCCCCCATGAATATCAGTATTAGAGATATTTAATTCTATTAGATTGTTTAATCCAACTAAGTTGTTCAGATAACCAAAAAAATGGTTATATTTACCTTTTTGAATTCGATATCGGTCTCAATTTTCCACATATAAATATTGCAAACTAGGAAAGTCCTCTATAAAAGTTAAACTACCTCTATCAAAGATATTGTTGTCAGAGATATCTAAATGTGTCAAACTATCTTTACTTTTTTGTGGTAAGTCTACCAGAAATCCTAGATTAGAAAAATTGTTATTGGAGCAACAAAGTTTTTCCATTTTAGTGTTGATACTTTTTATTTCTAAACTAGTTAACTGATTAGAATGACAGATTAGTTTTTTTAAACTGTTAGAATTTATGATAAGTCTAGTGATTCCATTAGAAGAACAATCCAAGTTTATTAAATTAGGAAAATGGGAAAGATCTAATTTTCCTTCCAAATTTTTACCACTTAGATTTAACTCTGTGTCACCTCTACTATTATGATAATTTTCGTTTAAATATTTTTGAGCGTTTACCATGATTATTATTTAACTCTTAACTGTTATTGTTGGTCTTTCCATTCTACTTTCTAATTCTTCATCTCTTAATGCTCTTTTTTCTCTGTCTTCGTGCCTAGCTTTTTTTTCTTGTCGTTTTTTTCATATTGGAACAAAGAAAGTGTTACATGCCCAGCATACTCCAATAATAGTAAATATCAGCGACAAAAGAGCCAAAATTGCTGAAATTGTAGCAATTGTATCACTAGTATTTAGCCCTTGAGATTTTTCTGAACTAACTGTCGGAGAAATAAAAGTGTTATTTAACAAAGTAGTTTCACTAGTAGAAAAAGTTGAAGTGGTAAAAATAGTGCTAGTTACTGGAAATGGGTTAGTGGTTCTACTTGAGTTTATTATTTTTGTTTTGGTTGTCATACGATACTTTAATATATTTTTAAATTTTCAATCACTACTAAGAACTTAATCTCAATTACTGGAACAACAACAATGCTGCCAACTAGAAGAAGTTTAAGGATAGGTGGTGGAACAAATTTTTCCAAAAGTTTAGCAGTTATTAACTAACCTTTTCTAGTAAAAACACTTAGAAAGTTTGCTAGCATTAACTATTTTAGCAGCAATAGTAATATAATACTTTTCTCTAAAAAATTTTAATATGAACCAAACTGTTGAAAAATTAAAAGCCAAATTTTTACCGGAAGTAGTTTTTAAATATGAGATTTGTCAAGAAAATTGTCATCATTGCCAAGAGGATTTAGGCTGCACTATTTGAAAAAATAAAATTGGCGATATTCGGGACAAAGTTAAAAACCTCCAAAATCTGGAAAAGAAAGTTAAGAAGTTAGAGATAGATCACGGTCTAATTGCGGAGGAAACTAGGCCAAAAACCGAAGAAGAGATTCGCAAAACAAGAGAAAAAATTAGAGAAGAGATTGAAAAGATTGCTAATTCACGAGTTATGGAAATTTATAGCCTTCAATGAAGGATTTTAAAGTATTATTTTCTTCTCTTAATTGAATAACTAGGGGAGAATTTTCAATAACTTGTTGCATTTCGGCTAATAATTTTTCTTTATACTGCTCCTCCTGGCTAGCAAAATAGTTTTGGAGATAAGTAACCGCCAAATGCTCTTCGGAAAAATTTTGGGCAGTAATAATCTTTAAACATCAAGGACATTTCAAAGAAAAAGAAAGGTTATCAGGTAATAATTGATTATTAATTTTTTCGTTGCTCATGATATTTTAATTTTTCTAGTTTGTTAGCCACCCAAAAAAAGCATTTTACTAGTCTTTTTAATTGGGTTACGAGATTTAGAAAATCAGTTAACTAACCAACTCAATCAAACCCTCCCCCAGAACAAGTTCCTTGAAAAGCAATAATACCTCTAATTTTGGTTGGAACACTCTTTTTAGCAGGATTAATAATTATTAGGAAGAAGAGGTAAAAGTTAGGGTTTCAGATTCCTTCTAGTTATATAAATATTAATATTTTTTTCACTTCAAAAAGTTTGCTTGTCAGGCATATTTTTTAGACGAGAATTTGGTAAAAAAACATTTTTATTAATGAATATTAAATTAAAAGAAAAAGAAGTTAAAAATTATTGTTATTCTTATCAGGACTGTTGAAATTATGCTCTTTCTTTGCAGAAAGATATTACAGTTCGGGAAATAAAAAACGATGTAATTACTCTTTGCCAAACTGTTCCGGAAAGGTTTTGATTAAATTTTTCTGATAAATTTCTCTCCTTTTCTAGTTATCACCAAATTTGCCACAATTTGAAAAGATATTTAAAGGAAAACTATCCAGTCCCCTATTTAACTAATAAAGTTTATTTTTATGGTTTAACTTTTTATATCAAAAAGGGAGTTTTTATTCCTCAAGGTGATACTGAAATATTGGTGGAAAAAACCTTAGAATTGGCGGGTAAAATTTGGGGAGAGGGAGAAAAGTTAAAAGTTTTGGATATTGGAACCGGTTGCGGTAATATAGTTATTTCATTGGCCAAGCATAGGTCAAATTGAAATTTTGTAGCGGTTGATATCAATGAAAAAGCACTGGAAGTTGCTGAAATTAATGCTTCTGTTCATCAGGTAAAAAATATTAAATTTTTTCATAGCAACCTTTTTGATAATGTAAAAGAAAATGAGAAATTTGATATTATTATCTCTAACCCTCCTTATGTCAGTAATGCTGATTACGAAAATATTTCTTTGACTGTTAAGAGTCAACCAAAAGAGGCGCTAGTGGCGGAAGACAATGGTTATTTTTTTTACCGAAAGATTTTTCAGCAAGCCCGTCCTTTTCTAACTGAAAAATTTCTTTTAGTAGTCGAAATTGGTTACCGGCAAGCCGAGGAAGTTGTAAAATTAATAATAAAGTACTTTCCAAAATTAATTATTTCTACTTTTTTGGATTATGAAGGTCATTCCCGAGTGATAGCAGTTTACCAATTTGAAAAGGCCTGATAATGCTCAGTCGGTAGAGCGTAGGACTGAAGATCCTTGTGCGGCAGTTCGATTCTGCCTCGGGCCACCATTAAATAAATAATATTATAAAATAATTAATTATGATTGGAATAACCGAAATAAATAAGGAAATAAGCAAAAAAATAAAATTAAGTGAAGCAGAAGTAAAAGGGGTAACTGCCTCTTTTTTAGAAGTAGTTAAACAAAAATTAGTTGACGGAGAAGATGTTAATTTCAAGAATTATTTTACTCTGAAAAGATCAAAACAGGCACCAAAGGTTAGCAAACTTTGTGATAATCACACTAAGAAAATGAATGATTACAAAGCAGCCAATAAAGGAAAAGGATTAGCGGCTTTTGCCAAATCTCCTTCTTTTCGAAAATTAAGTTTGGAAACTAGAAATTGTAACAGTTGTAAAGTCCAAAAGCAAAAAATAGCCAAGTCTACTAAATTACTAACCAGAGTAATTTGTAAGGCTAGCAGTGGTTTATGAAAAACTAAACCGGCTACTGCTAATAAGAGAAAATAAACACGGAGGATTAATCCTCCATGTTGCGAATGTAGTTCAATTGGTTTAGAATTCTAGGCTTCCAACCTGGCGATGCGGGTTCGAGTCCCGTCATTTGCTCCAAAAGAAAGTTTGATAAACATATAAAGTATAAATAACAAAGTAAAAAGTATATAAAATATAACAATATGACAGATAAATATAAAACAATAGAAAAAAAATTAAGTGCAAAGACATTAGATACAGAAGAACAAACAGTTGAGATTACTGTTAAAAATAAAGAATTAAGTATTGATAAAACTAAGTATTTCGAGAATGGTGCGAAAACTAGTGTATGAGTCGACATTGTAGTAAAAGATAAGGATGGTAATAAAGTTATTTCTAAATGTGCAACAGATAAAGAAATACAAAATTGTAAAATAGTCAGGGGATATCTTTATGATACAATAGAATTACCAAGAGAAATAGTTACTGGTGTTAAATTAAAAGATGATAAAGACTTATTGAGTGTTGCAGTTGAAGGTTGAAACAAGACTTTTCATATAGGTTGAATTACTCTTTCAGTGGTGTTTGTAGCTATATTAGTATGATGATTCATTGCTAGCCGAAAAGAGGATAAAGAAGAAGAAAGTTTGTAAAATTGTAGGAGTTCAAAACTCCTTTTATTATGTTGAGAAGTTTAGAAAAGGAGGAAGAGTTTGATTTCTTCCTCCGGGACAGCCAAGATAAATTATTATTGGTGAAATTCTTTATTACCAGGTGTCCTCCCTGTTGGAAATTACAAGAAAATATTGAGAAATTATTAATTGAAAAGAAAGACTTAGAAGTGTTAGAAGTGGATGCGAACAAGTTCCCGAGATTAGCCCAAAGACCGGAGTTTACTATTCTTTCTGTTCCCGCTGTTTTTCTTTTCTGAAAGGGTCGGAAGATTAAGGAATGAAAACAAGGGAGTATGAGTCTTAATCAATTAAAAGAATTTGTAAAAGTGGAATAAGGCCCGTTCGTATATCGGCTAGTACCTCAGCCTTTCACGTTGAAAAGCCGGGTTCGACTCCCGGACGGGTCACCAAGTCATCGTATTTCTAATCAGAGTATTTGGTAAGGCGTTCTCGGCTGATGAATATCAATTGGAAATACAGGGAGGTGTAGTTCAATTGGTAGAACGCTGGCCTTCAGTTCCAGTTGTTGTGGGTTCGAGTCCTGCCGCCTCTGCCAAAAAATGTCCAAGTGTACGGAATTGGTAGACGGGTGGGTCTTAAGATCCCATGGAGAAATCCGTGCCGGTTCGAGTCCGGCCTTGGACACCAGATTCATTGCTTCTGTGTTTCTAATGGCTATGATTTGCGCCTGTCACGTGCAAGACCCGGGTTCGATTCCCGGCAGAAGCGCCATTAAAAATTTTTTAAATGATAAGAGTAAAAATTAAAAACGACAATAAAAATTTATCTTTTCTTATTTTCAAAAAAGCTTCCTCTTTTGCCTTAAAAAAATATCGAAAGAATCTTTATTTTCAAAAAAAGAAAAGATAGAAGAAATTATTATGAATAAAAAAAGTAGTAAGTGAATGACTATTAGGCCTTCAACTCAGTCTCGTAATCAAAATGTAATTGAGGTTAAGGACTGGGATTATATTAAATTTCAAGTTCGAATAGAAATTATTAAAAATGAAAAAGAGATAAATAGGTATTGGGATATAAATACGAATGAATTAGACCAGAATGAAGTCAGAGTTTTCTTAGAGTTCGATAGTAATAGAACAAAAGATTATGAAGAAGATGATGAAAATAAAATAGATTTTTGATTAAAGGGTGAATCCTGAGAAAGTAAAGAAAAATGAGCAAAAAATGAAAGGGAAGCCTGCCTCAAATTTTTAATTGATAGAGGTCAATTAAACAATGGTGGTGTTTACAAGGAAGATATAGGATATAAATTTATAATTTTAACCGACGACGAAATTGGATTAGAAATTACTAATAAGAAAGACAGCAGTGTACAACCTAAATCTTTTAAAAATCGTCATGTAAAAATAATCGAACCCATTTTTTATCAAGTTAAAGCATTTACTTTAAAAGATACTGATGATTATAAAAATATTAAAAGCCCATCACAAGAAAATAGTTCATTTTGAACTGGCGGTAAAATCTTTTTAGCAATTGTTATTTTAACAATTTTTCTTCTCTTATTTTTTTTCCGGAAAAAGATTTGGCGTTGAATAAGAGGTGAAAGCAGCCAAGAAAAAAAAGTCCGCGAACAAATAGATATATTTTAAGAAAATTAAACTTGTATTTCTTTTAAAATATATTAATAATATGACTCGAGCAAAAAATACTCCGGTAACCCATCAGCGTCGAAAAAAAGTTTTAAAAAGTGCTAAAGGCTATTTTGGCTCTAAGCACAAACTATTTAGAACCGCCAAAGAGCAGGTAATGCGTTCTTTAAATTATGCTTATATTGGTCGAAAACAACGAAAGCGTGATTTTCGAAGTAAAATTTGGATCCCTCGTTTAAATATTTACTTGCGAAGCAAATATGGTCTCCGGTATTCTCGGTTTATTAATTTGTTAACTTTAGCTCAAATTAAACTGGACCGAAAAAGATTATCCGAAATGGCTATCAACCAACCCCAGTATTTTGATGCCCTGATTAACAAAATTCAAAATCCTTGATAAATCTAAACTTTGTAAATTCTGTAATGAAATGAAGCAGAGGTTCTAAGTTTGGAGTTAGTTGATAAAATGAACGAAAACAAAAATAATGAAAGATAAATTTCTTCCCTATTTTCCTCTTTTTCCTTTGCGTGTTTTTTTCTTTTTTTAAAGGGCATAGACATATTTGCTGAGTTTTTTATTCTTTTTTACCTTCTTCCTGTTTTTTTAATGTTGCTGGTTATTTTTCATTTAATTTCTCATTCTAAGTTGCAGATAATTTTAGCCGAAAAAAGGGCAAAAGTTTATCCTGTTGCAATAAAATTACTTTATTACATATTTAATGGTTCCTTTCTTCCAAATTTCAAAATTGACTTCCGAACAATTGGATAAAAAAATCGCTCTTTATGTTTGGGTTACTAACATTAATGAAAAAGGTAATTCATTGTGGTTTATTACCGGCCAGGATAGTAGCGGTTATATTCAAATTGTAGTTAAAAATAGAGAACTAATTTCACGTCTAAAAAAAAGGAAAAAAGGTGATTTGCTAGAAGTATGAGGAGTAGTAAAAAGTAAAAGACTTCCAGAGAAGAAAAAGGAAAATTCAGAAGAAGAATTAGAAATTGAATTGAATGAATTTCAGCTGATTAATGCTAACAGTTCTAGCAAAAATTTGCCCTTTCCTTTTATTAATGTTAAAGAAGATAATAAATATCGCTACCGCTATTTGGATTTACGCAATCCTAGCAGCAAAAGGTTGTTGCTTATTAAAAATCAATTTTGTTACGAGTTAAGAAAGTTTTTTCATGAACGAGGTTTCGTGGACATCGAAACCCCAATTTTATCTAACAATTCCCCAGAAGGAGCTAAATGTTTTGTAGTTCCCTCCAACCTAAAAAATCGCTTTTATACTTTGCCTCAGTCTGCTCAAATATTTAAGCAATTATTAATGGTAAGCGGATTCGATAAATATTACCAAATTGCCAAGAGTTTCCGTAATGAGGATGCTCGTAGTAATCGTCAAATAGAATTTTCTCAATTAGAGTTGGAGATGAGTTTCATTACTTCTCAGCAAATCAGACTATTGATAGAAGAAATGTTAAAAATCGTTTTGAAAAATGTTTTTGGTTTTCAGATAAAAATTCCCTTCCCTTTTTTAACTTATCAAGAAACTATAAAAAAATATGGAACAGACAAACCTGACTTGCGTGAAAATCCAAAAAATGAAAAAGATTTAAAATTTTTATGAATAACTGACTGGCCGCTTTTTGAATATAATCAAGAAACTAAAAAATATGAAGTCTTTCGCCATCCTTTCACTACCCCGCAGGAAAAATATATTAAGCCCTTATTAAATAATGAAATTAAACCAGAGGAAGTGATTTGTGAGGCTTTTGATTTAGTTCTGAACGGGGAAGAAATACTAAGCGGTAGTATTCGTATTCACCAGGCTGAATTACAGTCCAAAGTATTGGAAATACTGGGTTATGGCAAAGAAGAGCAAAAAGAAAGTTTTGGTTATTTTTTGCAGGCTTTAGAATTTGCAGCACCTCCGCACGGCGGGATTGGTTTGGGAATTGATCGCTTATTGGCTATAATATTAAACACTAGCAATTTGAAAGAATTAATTGCCTTTCCTAAAAATATTGATGGAACTTGTTCTTTGACCGGAACACCTAATTTTGTAAAATAATATAATCTTTTAAGAGAAAAAACTGATTTTTAGTAGATTTCCCTTTCGCCTTGAAAAATAAGAATAGTAGTTAAAAAAATAAGAAAGAACGGAACTAAGTTTTTGGAATAATTACAATATTTTGAAACTATAAAATAACTATATAGATTATAATTGATATCTATATCATACTAAAAAAATATTAACAAATATTATGACGCTTTGACAATGAATAAAAAGTAATATTCCGCCTTATGCGGAGCAAGTAATTATAAATCAAACCCCAGAACCAGCAACTAACCTAGAAACCGAGCAAGAAAGTCAACCAAACCAAAATTCAACCTCAACAAATAGCGAAACCCTGTCTCCTCAACAGGATAAAAAAGAAACCGAAAGTCAAGAACTAAACCAGCAAAGAGACAAAGTTGTTACTGAAATCACCACTGCCCTCAACCAGGAACCTTCACTAACTAATAACGAGTTAAGTCCCCAATATCAAAATTGAGAAACCCAAATCAATCAATTAACCAACTTTCAAAAAATCACTAATTTTCAAGACCGAATACTAGCCGACATCCAGGCTCGCCAGAAAGATAAAGAAAAAACTCAAAAAGCAAAAACTAGTCTAAACAAAGCCCAAACTGGAACTGAGGAAGAGAAGAAACAAGCCTTAAAAGATTTAGAAAACCAAGAAACCACAAAAACCTATAACAATACTCTAAGTGTTAACTTTTTAGATAATATTACAACGATATGAACACAACAACGCCTGTTGATAAACTAATTAAAAATTTGTCTCTCTTAAAATCACAATCGCCGGATAAGCAGCCAGTAGTTTTAGTAAGTATCGGATCAATGAACCCTATCCATAATCAACATATTAATATGTTTGAATTAGCCAAAAAGGAAATTGAATCTCGAGACCCCAACAAAAAAGTAGCGGTGGGGTATATTTCTCCTTCCCCCGAAACTAGTTATTTTTTAAATAAAGAATGTAAAGATGGAATAATTGACGTTAAGCATCGTGTCAAAATGGCTGAGTTGGCTACAGAAGATTCAGATTGATTAAGTGTAAATACTTGGGTTATTAATTTATGGAATGATTGAATTAAATCATTAGAGGTCAAGAAATTCGATTTTGGAAAGTTAAGCACTAGATACATGTTTAACGATACTCATTATGAAACCGATCGCTTATCAAAATATTTAAATTCACATGCAAAAGTTTTAGAACAAAACAAAAAAATTGAGGTTGTGGGACTTTTCACTAGCAAATACTTAGAAGATTACCCTAGATCATTTGGTCAAAAGGTTGCTAAGGGATTCAAAGCAGTGGTGATTGGTCAAAAGAAGGATGGAAATTGAAAAAGTAGACTCAAAGAGATTCTTGATAGTGAAGTTGGAGAAAACAAGTGAGATGATTTTATTTTATTTATTGATAGTGATGATGATCTCGAGACTACTTCTGCTGCAATCAGGAATATTATCAAAGTCGGGGACATTTATAAGACTAATCTTTCAGTAGTGTCAGATCCTAAGTATCAAAAAGAAGTTAGGTTTTATCAGAAAGGAGAACCGTTTCGTGAACTTACTGTTTGATATCAGGCATCTCCTATTAAAACAGCTATTCCTAGCAAATTAACAGAAAAGGGCGAAGTCGCTCCTGATTCAAAATGGTTAACGGAAGAATTGATTTGACCAAGCGGCGAGTATCTTTTTCAAGGCTTAAAGTTTACTGATAGGGATCAAATAATGAAAGCCTGCAAAGGAACTATAAAAGTAGAAGAAGTTGCTTTAGGAGTTGCAAAAAGAAGAAAAGATTGAGTTAGCGGCGGCTACAATCTAAAATCCATGCGGTTTATTACAAGAAAAAAATTTTCTCAGCATAAAGACTTAAGAGAGCTTTTGCTAGCGACTGGTGATGCGAATTTAATAGAAGATCCTAAAAAAGAATTTTATTCTAGTCTTGCTGATGTAGCATCGAAAGCTTTCTGAGGTACTGGTCTTGATGACAAAGGCCAAAATCAAATGGGCAAAATACTAATGGAGATTAGGAAAGAGATTAAAGAAGGTCGGTTACCACTAGACGTCAAAAATGAAATGACAGGTTCAAGAGATTTAAGTAAACTTTTGCATCCTAAAGTTTTGGAATATATTAAAAATAATGAAATTTTTCTTAAAGAAAAAGAAGATGAAGACATAAGGAGAGAGAGAGAGAGAGAGAGAGAGAGAGAGAGAGAGAGACGAATTTATTGAATGGTAGGAGGTGGAATAGTGGTATTGGTCTTGGTAGTTTTGTTAACAATATTTTGGAGAAAAAAATTAATAAAAAAGAAGTAAGTTTATTTTTTTACTTGGAAACGAAAGTTCGATCTTATTCGGTTACTTAATTAAAACTTTTTATTTCCCTAAGCAGTTCTTTTTCTCCTTCAAATTATTAAAAACCCCAAAATTGCTAAAATAACTAATGAAAATAAAACCGAGATTAAAAACCTAAAAATACAACAAGCCACCGCTAACCCTCAGCAATATAGTGGAGAAGCCAAGAAAGGAATTGAAAAAAAATTAGAGATAATAACATTAAAGAAGAAGAATTAAACGAAGAAAACCGGCAAGAATGACAAAAAATTAAAGAGCGGAGAAATCAAAGACCCAAATCAGTTAGTAGAAACTGAAACCAAAATCAAAGAAAATATTTACCAAATTGGGGCCGAAAAGAAAATCGCTGAACTAACTAAACAAGTGAACAAAATTCTAAAATCTAATTTAGACAGTTCAAAATCCAAAATTGAAACTCTTAAAAAAGAACTATCAGCCTTTATTAGTAGTGGTAATATTTACTATTCTAATCATAAAGAAACTGCCGAAAAACTATTAATCCAATTAGAAAATTATTCAATTATAAATAATAATCAAATCAGTTCCTCGCCAAAACCCCAAAACTTTCCTTGAAAAACAGTTATTCTTTCTTTATTAGTTGGATTGTTATTAATTAGTACTATTGTAATATTATTAAAAAAAAGGCAAATTAGTAAAAAACTTAAAAAAGTTTAACTAATTAACTTAAATACATTTTTTCACTCTTTTTCTTTAATAATCTTCTTTTCCCAATCCTTATCAGTCTGAGAATATCCGGCCGTAAAAATAACTGCTAAATTATAAAAATTTTGCGGAATGTAATTATTATTTTCGCAATAGGTAATGATTTCCGCTTCTTGAAAGCCACCCATGGGGCAGGTAGCAATTTCAAGTGAAGTGAAAAGTAAAAGAAAATTCTGCAAAAGAATAAAGCATTGTTGCTTGGCTCTCTCCGAAGTTAGGCGAGATTTTTTAGTACTAAACAAAAGGAATAAATGGGAACATTCTAAAACTTGTTGTTGCTGATTAATCAAGAGGTATAAATCTCTTTTAATTTTTTCATTATTAATAGCCAAGATAAATCAGGGTTCAGTTCCAAATCAAGAAGGAGCCCGGCAGGCTATTTTAATTACCTCTCCTATTAATTCAGAAGGAATTTTTTTATTCTGATAGTGCCGAATGGCTTTCCTTTGGGAAATTATTTGAGTTAGTAATTGAAATTTATTCACTTAATACCTAAGTTATGTTTTTAGCACTTTACTTTTTTTTGAAAGGAAAACCTAATAAACTTAAAAAGTGGGCATTCTCTTCGGCCAGATGAGATTTAAAAACAATCGTAATTTGAACTCCTTGATTTTTAAAGGTTAAATCATAAGGAACAGTTGGAAAAATACTTAGAGTATCTATTCCAAAATTATAATTTCCGTCCCTATCAAATTTTCTAGATGAAAACCCTTGAAGATTGGAAACATTCGGTAGGTCTATGTTTATTAATTCAAAAAGGAAATCCCATGCCCTTTTCTTTCTCAGAGTTACCTTACAACCGATCGGCATTCCTTCACGCAATTTAAAATTAGTAATGGAATTGCGAGCATGGGTTAAAATCGGTTTTTGGCCTTGCGCAACCCGAATTAAGGCTTTTTCAGTATTTTCTAAAAATTTTTTATCTCCGATTGCTTGTCCGACCCCACTATTGAGAATTATTTTTTCAATATCGGTTGTTTGCATAGGCGAAGAATGCTTAAATTTTTCTCGGACTAATTTTTTCACTTCTTTTCTTTTAGTCTCTCACCAGTTATTTACGACAGACATATATTTATATTTTTATTCTATTTTTTCAAATTCCTCAGCAAATTTTTTTCAACCATTGTTTCAAAAATAATAAACTCTCCCTCGTGATCTGCAATAAATTTAAAGAAAGTAAAATTATTTTTTTCCATAAAGTTCTGAATAGTTTCAGTAATAATCTCGGTTTTTTCTATTTGTTGTTTTCACCCCACATTCGAGGCAAGCTCCCCCCTTTTTCTGGTTAATAATTTCCAGTTTGTATTTACTACAATTTCATTTCATTTTGCTATGTCAAATTTCTTTTGTAATTAACTAAACAATTTAAGTTCATTCTTTTTTTTTTTTTTTTTTGCTGACTTACTAAGAATAAAATCACTGCCGAAAAAATAAAGGCAACTAACCCTAAACCAATGACCCATTTTAATTTGCTATTATCTTGCGGATTATTATTTATATTGCCTTTGTTTTTCTGATTTTTTTCGGCTTCGGCTGCTTTTTTCTGGGCTTCTTCCACCGGTCCAATTAAATCTTTTATTAGAAAAGGATATTCATTTAGCATGCCGCTATTTTCCTTAATATCGCTAAGTTCATCATTAGTTTTTGAAATTTCTTTAATTTGTTCTAAAAAAACCTTTGTCTTAATGATTAAATCTGAATCCTCTTCACTTAAATAAGGTTTTAATTTGATGCCTCATCCGTTTTTTTCAGTTAACTCTCAAATATTTTTCCAACTTTGCCTTAAAGATGGCTTATCTACTGGTTCAGTAGGTTTATAATATCCATTGGCTTCGGCATGCTCTTTGAGTTTTTTCTTTATGTTTTCTAACCATTGTTGGAGAGTTAAACCATCCGTATCAGAATAGACATTATTTTTAATTAGGTCATGACCGGGCAACCCTTCATAAAAGGTAATAAAAATCATCACTGCAAAAGGAATTTGGTCTTTAACTCCGTTAGTAATAGCAGAAATTAAGGAGAATGACTGAACATATTCTCCCGGAGTTAAATTTGACTCATTGCTATATAGATAAGCTTCTAACTTTTTCCTAAAATTTTTACTCCAATTTTCAAATTGAGTTTTAGTAATTTTTTCCATATTTATTGATAATTTTAAATTAAAAATTCTTTATGAATAATGAACTACGCAAACTTTTCCCTATTTTCACCCACCAAAAAGATTTGGTTTATTTGGATAGTGCTGCTACTAGTTTAAAACCTAGTGTTGTTATTCTAGCAATTAAAGACTATTACGAAAAGTATTCAATTAATACTCACAGCGGAGGGAGTAATTCCCTAGCCCAGAAGGTCCAAATGACTATTCAAAAAACTCGGGAAATGATTGCTAAAAAAATTAATGCTGAGGCTGAGGAAATTATTTTTTTGCCCTCTACTACTTATTCTTTGAATATTTTGGCTCTTTCTTTGAAAAAATATTTGGAAAGAGGGGATAAAATTGCTCTAACTTATTTAGAACATAGTTCTAATTGTTATCCTTGGCAATCTATTGTTCAAGAAAAAGGAGTTGAAGTATTTTTTTTACCTTTAAATAAAGGGTTTGCTATCGACATTAATAATTTAGATGAATATCTTGACCAAAAAGTTAAAATAGTCAGTTTTTCTCATATGAGCAATAGTTTGGGAGCAGTTAACCCAGTAAGGGAGATTACTAAAAAAATCAAAAAAAGAAATCCGAATTGTTTGGTGATAATTGATGCCTGTCAGAGTTTAGCCCATTTGCCGATTGATGTCCAAGAATGAGGCATTGATGCTCTAGTTTTTTCCGGACATAAAGTCTACGGACCAACTGGAGTTGGAGTGCTCTGGTTGAAAGAGAGTTTAGGCAAAAGATTACCCGATATTTTGTGAGGAGGAGGGAAAAAAATCAGTCCTGAGCAGAAAATTAATGAAAATTTATCCTTGTCCCAGAAGTTTGAAGTCGGCACCTTACCTTTGGCACAAATATTTGGTCTCCAAAAAAGTTTTGAATTTCTTAATAACTTAGACATTCGCGAAATAGCCAATTACGAAAAAAAATTGAAAGATTATGCCGTAGAGGAATTGTCTAAATTAGAAGGAGTAATCATTTATAATCAGCACCTAGAGGCTTTAAATATTATTCTTTTCAATCTGGAAAATTATCACGCTCATGATGTAGCCGATTACTTGGGGAAAAATAACATTTGTGTTCGGGCTGGTAATTTCTGCTGCCCTTATTTGAAAGAATTAATTGGAGTGGAGGCTGCGATTAGGATTTCCTTATCCATTTACAACACCAAAAAAGATATCGATAAATTAGTATTTCACCTAAAAAGAATTATACAAGAGCCAGAATTATTAGTATTATTGCCATAAAATAATGAACAATATTGAAAAAAAAAAAAAAAACTAGTTTGAGTAGTTAGTGGAATAATTGCCCTGGTCGGAATCGGAACCATTACCTATTTTGCTTGGCCGAAAGAAAAAACTAATAAGGAAAGTAAAGAACTGACTCCAACTAATTCAAAGGAAAAAATTCAGGAATTAAAAACTGAATTAATTTCTCTAAAAAGCAAACTTGATAGTATCGTAGATACTATCGAAAAGATCCTATTAGAGAATAAAATATCTAATTTAGAAAGTCAGATAAATAATCTGGATAGTCAAAACAACTCTCCTTCACAGTCAATCATTAAAGAATTGGAACAAGAAATTAAAGAGATTGAAAGAAAGTTGGAGGATGAAATTGAGAACCAGCCAAAGTCAGGCGAAGGAAAATTTACTTATTTTGGCCTTTTTAATGATTATCATTCTTTCAAAAGTATTTTATCAGGTCAGAAAGAAAGGTTTATTAAAATTAACAAAAACCACCCTGAAATTAAACGATTAATAAACGAAGGTAAATTACAAAAAGATAAAAATTTCATTATCCGTTATGGAAAAGTAGATGAAATCTCTCAAGTTGGACTTGTTTATACTTTTGAACAAAATAACCAAGAGTTAGAAATCACCGAAGCCTACTAAAATTAATTATAAAAGGTTTTTGTTTTAAGCCTTGTTAGCTCAGTAGGTAGAGCGTAGGACTCTTAATCCTGTGGTCGGGGGTTCGAACCCCTCACAAGGCACCAAATAGCAAAATTATTTTCTACTTTTAAAATTATAATATTGAAAATTTAGCAAAATAAACTTTCTTAATGAAAGACGACAAAAGAAAAAAGATAAATAAAGTCAGTGCTCAGGAATTATTTTTTCAGGCCGATAAACTTTCTATTGTTCATCGTAATATAGAAAAGTTTCTTGATAAATTATTTAAAGAGAGACAGATTAGTTTGGAAACTCCTCAACAGTTTAGAAAACATGAAAATTTTCTTGACATTTCACAATGAATTGTCCGATTTGCAGCAGCTGGTGGAGGTGTTTTATCCTTAACTGGTCGACCTATTGCCGGAGGAATAATTAACGTATTTTGCGTGCTACTTGGAACACTCATTTTTTATTTCAAAGAAAAAAGCGATGGAAAAAAACGAAAATGAGATGAGTTTGTAAAAGACTGTGAAAATTTGCGGGAGAATTTGGACAGATTAATAATAATGATAGGTTCAGTGAGAAATTTTTCTTCGGGAAGAATAAGCAAAGCAATGGAGAATTTAAATGATAAAATATATGACTTTTTAAAAGAGTATGATAGGAATAAAGACAGGAAAATTTCGGTTTCAGAATTAGAAATAGAGAAACTCGCCGAAGATTTGAGAAAAAGTTGAAGAAAAAAAAGCAATAATGAAAGCAAAAAAGAAAAAGGTTTAAAAGAAATTATGTCTGCAATCCAAAGTTTACAAAATGAAATGATTGAAGATTGCTCTTTAAGTTTGGAATAATAAAGTTCTTTAAAAGCAATCACATGAAAGCAAAATGCTTCATCGGTTATTTATTTTTTCTTAGTTCCGTAAAGTGAGCGACCTTGCTTGCGGCCCTTTACTCCTTCAGCATCTCCACCTCTTCCAACTTTTCAACCGCGAATAACACGGTATTTTACTCCAGGTAAATCTTTAGCTCCTCTTCCACTAACTAAAACAGAGGAGTATTCTTGAAGATTGTGCTTTTCTCCTGGGATATAAATAGTAACTTCTTTCCCATTACTGAGTTTAACTCTAGTAACTGATCTCTGAGCCGAATTTGGCTTTTTAGGTTTATTAGTTCATACTTTCATACAAATCCCACGCTTTTGGGGACTATTTTGGGGAAAATAAGTTCTTTTGAGAGAATTCCGGCCAATTTTCAAGGCTACTTTGCCCTTTTTATTTTTTTTTGGTTTCCTAGGATTACGAACTAGTTGATTATTAGTAGTCATTTAAAGTATATTAATTTTTTAACTCTTTTTCACTTTCTCTTTTCTTGCAATTTCTCTCTGACGATATTTTTCTACTGCTCCTGTTCTAATTTCACTAGCCGAGGTTCCAGTATAAAAAGGATTGCAATTAATACAATTACTGCAAGAAATATTTTGGGGAGAGGTTGATACGGTTTGATATTTTTGGTCGCAATACAAGCAAGCAAAAATTATTTTATGAATCGGCAGGTGAGTTTTTTTTTTCATATAGTTTATTTTATTAATTTTGCCCTTATAATGAATGATTTGCTTCGGTTTTAACGCAAATAACTATCTTTTTGCTCTGAGTTAATTTTCTCAGTTTTTCTTTGAACTTATCCCAGTTATCTCTATCTAAGGCATTGTCTGCTTCATCAAAGATAAATATTTGTGCGTCTTTTTTATTTTTTAGAACTTGATCTATATTTATTAACTGCTTTTGTCCGTTCGAACCCTCTTTTATTAAAGTTTCGTGTGAACAATAAGCAATGTTTTTACTTCGTCAGTTAACTAAGTCAAGTTCAGATAAATTATGAACATTTTTGTCATCCCTCATTTGAATAATTATTTTTCCTTTTTGAGGGGTTAGTAATCCTAATAAAAGATAAAGTTTAGTAGTTTTTCCGCTACCATTAGGAGAGGTTAAATAATTTACCTCTCCAGCCACAAAAATTTGGTTAAAAATCATTGCTTTTTTCTGCTCTTGGTATTTGAAAGAAACATTTTCAAAAATAATCTTTTTTATTGGTATTTCAGTAGAAATCTTTTTTCCTTTTAAGTTGTCATCTCTTTCCGGCAAATTTAAAAAATCTTTTACCCTTGTTCGTGAAGAGGTATAGTCTGGTCAGTTTCCTAAATATCCAAGTGCTCAAGCACAATTATTGAGAGTGTCCCAAATTATCGCAAAACTAGCCCCAATAAAATCAGGTTCTAAAATGAGGAGACCAAAAGGAAGGAGATTGATTAGTAGTTTCCAACTAACATCTTTTTCTAAACCTATTCTTTTTGCAGCTGAAACTTTGGCTTGCTGAGATTTTTGGGTTAAATATTGTTGATTTTTTCCCCATTCAGTTCCTAATCCCATGCTATTAATTAACACTGAATTGTTTATTTCTCGATTAATTTCCTTGTGCTCATGGCTTACTTTTTCCTTGGCTTTTTTTTCTGAACGATAACTAATTTTGTAAAAAAGTCAAATGGCTCCCACCATCAAAACCAGTCAAAGGATAGTAAAGAAGAAAACTCGATTACTGATTTGTCCTTCAATGCCTTGTTCTCCTGATTTCTTCGCCCCCCACTTTCCATAAAAAAATCCGTAAAGAAATATTCCGAAAGAAACCGACCCCTTGTATAGTTCCCTTCAAAAGTTAACTCAATGACGGCCAACTATTTCATTATCTCTCTCTACTAAACTGCTGATTTTCGCTCTTTGTTTTAACTGCTCTTCTAGTGGCAATTTCCGAAACTTTTTTAAAGTGCTGTTTTTTAAATGGTCGTTAATTTTAATGATTAGTTTTTGAGAATAGAAGTCACAAAGGTAACTGAGTAAAAAGTATAGGCAGACTGAGAAAACACCCAAAAGAATAAAGCCCCTCTTGCTTAAGAATCAATTTTCATCAAAGGGTTTTCAAAGTTGAGAAGGAATTAAATCAGCATAATTATTTATTGGTTTTTTATAACCAAAAATGCCACTAAGTGCTCCAAAAAAAGAGTAAGTAAAAATGGGGATGAAAGTGGCGAATAAGAAGCAACTTAATAAGGGAAGTCAGAACTTTTTTCAAAGTTTTATCTCGCACCGGGGAGTCATTTGTTTTATAATAATTTTACTAATCTTTGCACTAAAAATATTTATAAATTAGATAATCGGTTTTTTGAAAAAAATTATGTTAGAAAAAAAACAAATAGAAGGTTACGTTTATATTTTTTATGGAGATGGCAAAGGAAAAACCTCTCACCTAAATGGGATGGTTATTCGGGCATTAGGGAATGGCTGAAAAGTCTGCTATCTACGTTTTCTAAAAAATCGTCCTACTGGAGAGTTAAAGTTTTTTGAAAAAATAACCCAAGTTGGACCATACAACAAAAAACTGGAAATCTATGACTTTTATCGTTCTTCAGACAAGTTTTCTTGAGAAATGAATGAAACAGAGAAAAAAGTTTTACAAAAAGAAATCAATGAAGGTTTTGACAAATTTCGAGAAATAACCCAAAGAGATGATGTAGACTTAATTGTAGTGGATGAAGTTTTAGACTGTATTTACAATAAATATTTGTTTAAAGAAGTTCCTGAAGAAATTTTAATCAATATTCTTAAAAATAAAAAACCTCATGTAGATATTGCTTTATCAGGTCATAATCTAAGTGATAGTCTGAGAGAGGTTGTAGATGTAATTTCATGGGTTAAACTAGAGAAACATTATTTTTATAAAGGAGTGAAAGGCAGAGAAGGAATTGAATATTAAACTGCCATGAATGTGAAATCCAATCAAAAAGAATTAGAAATTATTGAATTGCTAGAAAAATTAGATAATTATTTGAAAGAGGGAAAAATTAGCATTAAATATAACCAATGTAGTAGTAAATGTTGCACTTGTAAGTATAAAGAAGAGCCGATTATCTGAGGATTAAAATATCAAGAAAAGCAAATTAATTTAAAGGACTGCCTAAAAAAACAAGAGAATTTATCTTGTAACATTTTTGAATTTGTTTTAAATGGTAAGAATTGAAAAGGGACAGAAGCAATTCTTAAACTTTGAATTTGTCCTACATCCTCGTTAAAAAAGTGCAATGAATGTGGCAAAATGGAAAAAAATATAATGTCTTCTAGTTTGAAAGGGGATTCGTGAGGCGGTTCGTGATTAAATTATTGCCGTGAATGTTCTTTAAAACGCTTAGAAGAGTTAAAGACTAGTGGCTTTTTAGAAGAAATAAAATTACTGTTAGAGGTGGAGCGATTGATTAAAAAAAAGTAGAGTAAATATGATCTCTAAAAATGGTAAAGAGAGAGCGAAAAATTTTGAGAAGAATGGAAGGGCGAAAAAAAGCGTGTTTTATCGGTTGACTTTTTTTGGCCAAAAATCCCTTGCCAATGGCTATTTTTCAATTAATAACAACAGCGGCTATTGTTCGAGTAAAAGGGTTTAATCAGTGACTTTTCGAACCTACTAAATTTGATTTTAGGAGGAGATGTTTTCTTTGTTAAAATATTTATTATATGAATGAAAATAGAGCCTACCCCGAGACCTATATAAATCGTCTAAATGAATTGATTAGTCGCCATTTTAACCACCTTTGCCCGGTTCAGAAAAATTTTCATTTAACTTTGTCTGGAATATCCCGTTTGGTAATGCTGGATCGTTATTCTCAAAAGGATAAAGATTTAAAAACTTTGCAAATAGACGATATAGTTTTGACCACTATCAAACCCGACCCTCGGTTTCCAAGTAGAGGAGTAGGCAAAATAATTAACCAGTTCAACAGTCCGAACGGAACTTCGTTTTGGGTTATTGAAGTTGAAGAGGAGTTTGAAAACAATATTGATCTTAATTTATTGTATCAAAACCACAAAAGACAAATAATTAAGCAAATTCATGAAATTGAAAAACCGTTAGAGTTGTTTTGAGAACAAATTGCTTGACGAGTAGGTCGCGCTATTGCTGAACCGGAAAAAGATAATAATTTAAAGGATAAGTACACTGCTGAATTCGAAAGACAGATTAGAGACTTCAAAATTATTCCAGCAGGGCGAGTACTTCATGGAGCCGGAAGTCAATCCGCCGTCACTTATTTTAACTGCTATGTTATGCCTTATATTCCTGACTCTCGGCAGAAAATTGCTCGTCATCGGGAGGAAGTGATGGAAATTATGTCCCGAGGAGGAGGAGTAGGAAGTAATGGCAGTACTTTACGACCTCGCGGAGCAGTTGTTAAGCAGGTTGGCGGAAAAAGTAGTGGAGCAGTTTCTTGATTAAATGACCTTTCTCAGTTAACCCATTTAGTCGAACAAGGCGGTTCTCGCCGCGGAGCTCAAATGATTATGTTGGCCGATTGGCATCCGGACATTATTGAATTTATTGTTTCTAAAGTACAAAATCCCCGTGCTTTATTAAAAGTACTAGATAATACTGAAAATGATTTAATAAAAAAAGAGATTAATCAAAAATTAGAAAAAAAAGGAGACAATTATCAAGTTAGAAATACTGAGTTTTTGAGTGGGGCAAATATTTCAGTTTGTATATCTGATAAATTTATGGAGGCGGTCAAAAAAGATCTTAATTGAAATTTAGTCTTTCCTGATTTGGAGAATTATCAAAAGAAAGGAAATGAAGAAAAAAAAATAGCCTACGATGAAAAATGGCATGAGATCGGAGATGCCTATGAATGAGAAAAAAAAGGTTATGAGTTAAAAGTTCATTACACCATCAAGGCGCGAGAACTGTGGAACTTAATTATAACTTGTGCTACTTACTCTGCTGAGCCCGGAATATTTTTTATAGATAGGGCAAATAATTTTACTAATGCCCGAGGTTATGGACAGAAAGTAGTGGCGACTAATCCATGTGGCGAACAACCTCTTGCTCCCTATTCGGTTTGTAATTTAAGTGCGATTAATTTGGCTTCTTTTGTAGATAAGAAAAACTCCCAAATTTTGTGAGATGAATTAAAAAAAACAATAAAAATTTGTATTAGGTTTCAGGATAACGTAATTGATGCCAGTTATTATTTTCCAATCAAGGGAGAAAAGGATACCACTCTTAAAGACCAAGCTCAAGGAGAAAGAAGAATTGGAATGGGAGTAATGGGCTTACATGATTTTTTAATTTATGCTGGTAAGAAATATGGTTCGGAAGAAGCTAATTCATTAGTTGATAAACTATTCGAAACTGTGTGTAATACTGCCTATGAATCTTCAATTGAACTAGCCCAAGAAAAAGGCGTTTTCCCTTTCTTAAAAGATCGTAATGAATTCGTTAACAAGTCAGGGTTTATCCAAACTTTGCCCAAATATATTCAAGGTAAAATTAGAGAACATGGGCTTCGTAACTCCCATTTATTAACAGTGGCTCCGACCGGCAGTACTGGAACTTTGGTAGGAGTTTCAACCGGGTTAGAGCCTTATTTTGCTTTTTCTCATTATCGCTCGGGAAGACTGGGAGAATTAATTAAAGTAGAGTATCCAATAGTTAAAGAGTGGTTAAAATATCATCCAGAACACAGCTCAGAGAAATTGCCTGATATTTTTATTTCGGCGATGGATGAAGAATTAAAACCAGAAGCGCATGTAAATATTCAATGTACCATTCAAAGATGAGTAGACAGTTCTATTTCAAAGACCGTTAATGCTCCTCGAGGTTACAGTGAAGAACAAGTAAAGAAAATTTATGAAAATTTATACGAAAAAGGAGCTAAAGGTGGGACTGTTTATGTTGATGGAAGCCGTGATTTTCAGGTGCTTAGTTTAGAAAAAAGCGATAACCAATTTAGCGATTTAGAAAATAAAAAGGAAAAGTGCAAAGTTTGTCATAATGGAGAATTAATTTTAGGAGGAGGTTGCTGGACTTGTAATAGTTGCCATAATCAAAATAAATGTGAACTTTAAAAGTGGGACATGCTCCAATAAAAGGATGCAAGTAAAAAAAATAGGCAATTATATACAATTTTACAATTTATAAATTTTTTAACTAAAATAAAACATTATGACAAAGAATTCACTACAATGATGGTATAGAACTACTCTTATTACCTATAGTCAAAAAGAAAGATTGAAAAAAATTGGAATAGAAGATTACGATTATTACTATCTTCAAGATCTAAAGCAAATATTATTTTGCGAAGATAAGGCAAATGAACTTCCTGAGATCAAAAATAGTTTATCTTATAAAGGAATTAAAAAAATTACTTTCTTTACTCCTCTTTATAATGAAGGTAAACCAGATTTTTCTAATTACAGTTGTGCAATAGTTAGAGATAGTAATTATGACAATTGAGCAATTTCTTATCGTCCTTCTTATGTAAGCGAGATAGAAGATGACATTATTGTTAAAAAGGTTTACAATGCTAGTGAAGCAGAAGGTGATTTAAATTGAACTAATCCCATTACAGCGATGGCACCTAGTCATGGCAATTTTAATGATTTTGTTACCTGACCTTATGTATCAAAGAAAGACGTTTACGTATCCAGAAATCCTGATAATTATCTCCTCCCTTTAGATGTTATCAGAAAGGAAAGAGATTGGTATAGTCACTTTGCAGTCTATTTAGGTAATGGGCAAATCTGTAATTATCTTAATCCAGATGGAACAGTGTTCGATAACTGAAATAACTTTACTGGTGGAGGTGGTTCCTCAGCCTCTCTTGGTTATTCGTCAGGTAGTTTTGCCTCAGGAATTTCTTCCTCTTCATTAGGTCTAGGTTCTTTAGCCAGTGGCTCTTTCGTTTCTAGTGGGATTTCTTCATCCTCTGCTTTGTCTAATAGTTCAAATTCCTCTAGTTGGAATAGTAGTTGAGTGACAGTTTATCATCCTCGAATTCCTTTCAAATTGAGACAAGAATCAATTAGTGATATGGCAAAAGCTCTTAACACCCAATATGGCAAAAAAACATGAGATAATTATGTATTCCCTTTCGCCAATGCTCTTTTTCCAACTGAGAAAAAGAATTACAATGCGAGTTATCGTAATTGCGAGCATTTTGCCAATAGAATTGTCTTTGGAATAAATATTTCTAAACAAGTAAGCGATGCTTTAGATAATAGAAGAAGTTTCAATCTAAAAGACGAAGTTTCAACTGGTGGCGCTAGTTGTCACTCCCCCTCTTTTAGAAATTTAACTTCTTCTGATTGTTCTTATGAAACAAATCGTATAGAGAGGTATGCCCAAGAAGCCGAAAACAATCGCTCTTACACTCGTCCTAAATACCGAATCGAGTATGAGAAGTTTGAGGAATGAATTGAAGTTTACCCAAAAGATTCATGTAAGTTACAATAAAAATGAATATTTTTACTCCTATTGGTAGTCCACAAAATATATGAATTCTAATTCTTTTCCTTCTACTTTCTGCTTTTACTGTTTTTTATTGGTATTGTTTTATATGGGGTAAGAGAGTTAGTAAGGGACAGAGAAGGTTTTTTTTAATTTTACTTATGATTACTATTCCTTGCTTTATTTATCTTTTAGTATGTATAGTTTGGGTTGCTTATATTATTTATAAAGCAAGATTACCTTGATGATAAGGTTTTTGTAATTTCACTGTAAAATTGTATATAATTGCCTATTTTTTTTTTAAGTTTCTTTAAAGAGAGTCTGGTTAAAGTTAGTTCTGGTTATAAAGAAGGAGGAAGCAAGAGCAGTAGGCAGAGGAGGAAGCGAAAAAATCCTTGCATATTACTTGGCAATAAAGTTTCTTAAATAAAAAAATACTATTCCAATAATTAGTAAAAGGATTAGAAAAATTCCGAGCAGTCAGTAATAAAAATTTTTTAGTCTAGCCTCTAATTCTAAAATTTTTTTCTCATTTTCATTTACCTTATCTTTATTCTCTTTTTTTAAGTAATCGAGGTCTTTTTCTAAATCTTTTCGTAAAGAATCAAAAAAGTTTTCTTTATTTTCATTCATATTATATTTTTCAGGTGTTTAATAATAAAATTGAAAGTAGTTGTAGGCTGAAAAGCATTTTTTGTTTTGAATGAATGGTAGGGAGTGGGTAGCAAAAGTTGGTGTTAGCAATTGAAAGAACATAGAATAGGAAGAGACAGAGTTAATTGAGGATGAAAGGGATTTTAAAGTTTACTGGAAAGTGGTGAATTTATGGGCTAGTCAAGAATTAGTTTTTAAGTATCGAAAATTTTACACTAATAAACAACTTTTAGACTACTATCCTAGTGAAAAAAACACGAGGAAGGCACTAATGGGATAGAACAAAACAAAAGACAGCAAGAGATGACACCTTTCTCTGAAAGGGCCAAAAATTCGACCTTTGTTTCTCGTTCTGACCCCAT